GGGCTGCCTTTGGTCCAGGAGACAAAGATCCAGATCCGCCCCCGAGGCGCAGGCACGAGCAGCCGCAGCCCAGCCCACCCCACAGCAGCCGGGCCTGGGGGGGCGGGGGTAGCTCACCCGCCTTCGTTCCTTCTTCTCCAGCCAGCCCCACAGGCTGGAGTTGGCCCTAGGTCTCCAAGCAGGTCCCAGTGCTGCCCGTGGGAAAGGGGGATCCTGCCCCTGGGCAGTCCTGCAGCCCCCTGGGCGGCAGCACAGTGTCCTCCCCTTCCAGGCATCAAGACCTCCAGGGGCAGGGAGGAGGAGTGTGTGCACTGGGGCCGCAGCTGCCCCCTTAAGGGCCCAAGCTGCGACATTAGTGTGGTTTGAGAGTCTCAGAGCTAAGAAGCACTGATAATTTAAAGGGGCAGCACCCAAAATTCATGAAGGTAGAGGGTACAGAGGGCAGGTTAAAGGCAGAAATTTAAGGTGGAGGCAGGGTTGAAGACCCACAGGCCAGAGAGCTCCCACCCCCTCCCCCAGAGCAGTCACACAGGACCAAGCTCAAGCCCTGCCCCAATCCAGGGCTGAAAATAGAGAGGCAGGGCTTAACATTCCCACCCCACGAATGGGGCAGTTAAGCAGAGCCCTGGGGTAGGGGTAATTCACTCCCATAGACCCTCCTGTTAATACCCCAGGACTAGGGGGAGGAGACAGAGGCCCTGGGGGACTGAGACAATGGGAGGGAGATGGGGGGGGCTATAATACGCTGCCCAGGGTCAGCCCTGTCTGGGGAGGGGTCAGCAGCCTATCCCCTTATAGCAGAAAGGGGTTAGTGTTGGCCAGGCTCTGGGCTGAGGTGGTTCCAGGTCCCACAGGTGGTGGGGCCATCATGGGAGGCAGCCCCATAGCAGGCAGGCCAGGTGTGGGCACAGGTGCCAAAGGCTGCATTCCCACCATAGGGGAGACAGAGGTGAGGGGCACACCAGGACCCATAGGGGAGACAGAGACCATGGGAGCAACAGTTGGCCCAGGCTGCCCCAGTGCCATTACAGGGCTGACGCGCAGCTGGCTGAGGGTGAGGGAAGCTGCCTGAGGCTGCTGGAATGGGTTGGTGGTTGAGGCGCCTGCCACAGGTCCTGCTGCTGTTGCCGATGCCACTGGAGCTGCCCCTGAGGAAAGGGGGAAGGGTGAGAGATGGCCCTACCCCTGTCCAGTGCCAGACAGATCTTTTCCATAGGCATCCCCAGAGCTTGCAAAACAACAGGGAACCAGGCAACAACTAGTAGCAAACCAGGACTCCTGACCTCCAACCCCTACCTGCTCTAACGCACCAGACCCCATTAACCTCCCAGAGCTAGGAGAAAGCCCCAAGTGCTGTGGCTTAACTCCCTCCCTGGCTCTGACCCACCAGAGGACACTCCTCTCCACCCAGGCATCCTGGTTGTCCATGCTCACCAGTGGGCAAGAAGGGGTTGGAGGTCTTGGCAGTCGGGGCAGCAGGGGGCTTGGCAGAGACAAGTGAGTCCAGGTCGACAAGGGCAGCATTGGGTCCCAGGAAGGACTCAGGGGTCTTGCGTGTGGATTTGGAGACCTCAGCCAGTGACCCCCCGACAGCCGCCATGTCGAAGGTGCTGGGGCTCTTGGTGCCAGCTACACGTGACACTGGCACCTCCCCTGCCAACAGGTCCAGTTCCCCTGGGAGATGCATAGGGTCAGACAGAGAAAGGGGTGTAGAGGATACCCCCAAACTGCCCCCCCCCGCCAGATCCCAGCACCTGGACAGCAAAAAGTTAAGCCAAGGGATGACAGCCACAGGGGAGCACTGGCCTTGATCCTGGAGATAACCTGGGGCCAGTGACATACGTGGGGCAGTTAGCAAGGATCCCCAGTGCCCCCATACCCAGCTGGGTGCTTATGGGTGCAGGAAGGCAGGGGTAACTCACACCCAAGGAAAGGTTTGCCTTGCCTACCTGTGCTGCTCCCAGATTTGGGTAGCGTTGTACGTAGACTGTCAAAGTCAGAGAACTCATCAGTCTCACCAGGGCTGCCGAACTGCTCAAAGCCTCCACCAGCTGCAAGGGAGGCACCACGTTAGCAGGGAGTGGAGGGGAGGAAGGCACGTGTCCCTATCCCAGCCTGACCCACTGCTTTCCCCGAACTAGGACAGAACCCAGATGTCCTTGATCCCAGCCCCCCATCCTGCTCTAAGCAGACTCCATTGGCCTTCCTCGCTACTGTCCAGTAAGGAAAGTACCCAGGCATCCTGGCTGCCTGTACCACCCCCTTACTATAACCCACCATCCCCACTCCTTTCCCCAAGTTGCGAAAGAACTCAGATGTCCTACCCCCTAGCTACCCCTGCCCACATACCTGCAGTGCCATTGGTGCTGGGCTTTGATGGAGAGCCTCCCCAAGGGTCAGAGAAGGTCTGTGCTGGGGCCCAAGGGTCCTGTGGGGGCTTCACCTGGGCAGTGGGGGTGGGAGCTGGGACTGATGCCCATGGGTCATTGGTGGGAGCTGCTCCGCTCCCAGCAGCACCCCCTCCTGGAGAGGGAAGCAACACAGTGAGGGGCACCACTGCACACAAGAAACAGGCAAGGTGCATGGTCAGAGTGCATGCACACAGAGACAGTAACAACTGATCACTCCTGTTTGGGACTGGAGCCCAGGTTCAGACAGGGCCACCCAGGGATTCCTCCCACACCAGGACCCATCAGTGACCCCCAACTCCCTCCTGATACCTGTTCCTAGCCGAGAGGTGCCACTAGGGCAGGGCACTCTTGCAAAAGGGGCTGCCACATCCATGGCTTCAGCTGAAGATGGGAATGCAGATGCCAGTTCCCATGGGTTTGTGGGGAACTTGCTGGGGGTTCAGCA